TAACTCTGATCATAGAAAATTTTAATTCTTTTGTAATTAAAATCTACGCAAGATGATTTTACGTTCGTGGCCACTAATCGTAGCGAATTCCATGTGATAAGGCGACTGGTACTTACGAGCTTGCTTTATTTGTACAGTTAATGAAATTATTGACAGATAGTTGGATAATTATCACGTTGAAGATTGTTTAAAGTAAGCAATAGTCACTATAGAATCGAAGCTAAAATGGGCAAGCCATAACAAGCTATCTATAGCCTTGGTTCGGAAATTTCGTGTTGTTTAATTGTTTAGCTTGAGTTTGTTTATTCTTACGGCTCGAGGTCAAAGCCTCCGTAATAACGATCCGTGGGGTAAACTATTCAACAGAGGCTAAGAGAGTATTCAACTCGTTCAGTCAACCAGAAAACAAGAGAGCATGCAGTTGGTAACAGGGATGCTAAATGACAGTTGATGGCCATAAAAGAGAAGCTTGATTACACCTCGTTGTCAATGATTTTACCCTAAGAGCTTAACCTTTAATATACCTACTTATTTAACATTAAGTCAACAGCTTCGACCTAAGAGGCTTTTTTCACTCACAAACCTCACTGCCATTTATGGGGCTTTAGTTAAATATTCATTCAGTTATTATTTACTAGACAATTCAATATATCGTGGGTGTCATTATTTTCAGATCTATCTTTAGAAAGCGGATTCTAATATGCCCTGAAGATCTGAAAAATCAGGTTATTGAGAATAATTACATCATACCGTAATTGAAATGAGCAGTCTTGCATTTTTCCTGAGGGATTCCTGTGAGGGGTTCACACCGGAAGACGTTCACAAAGCCCACGATGGCTGCTTCTCTACAGGACTAGTAATTTTCATTAAATTTGGTTCTTACTACGGAAACAATCAATGACGAAAAGAATATGCGTTGTTCTGTTTATCCAAGAACGTGTTATAACATTATTACTTGACAAGTTAGAATCATGCAACTTGATCATATGAGAGAACGATGCTATCCAAGCAATCAGCCGTGGCCAGTTGCAGACGGCGTTATCGTACTTTCTAGACGAGACACTTATATCACTCATAATTATCGTTACTGTAGGCATTTTGCTTCTGGGTTCTGAATTCGAAGACTTAAGATCAATACAATACCCTTCAAAAATACAGGAGCGTGTTGAGTGTCGTGCAAGAGTCACGAAATGCAATCGAAAATAATTGGGAAGTTTTATTAGCGGAAGTTGATAAATCTCGAAATCTATAAGTAAACTGACTGCTTATATAAGGGTTGGATAAAGTGTTTTAGTCATTCGCGAGAGAGGGATAGTGACCAAGAGTGTTGTTGCATGAATTTGATGAATACACGGCACCCGTGCCCTCTATGCCTTCCATACCCTTGTCCCAAAGATCTTCCTTCGCATCATGAATAGTTTTTGTTTCCTAAATGGTTAAGACATTGTTAATCCGGTGTAGTTCCGTGTGGTTTGTTCGTGGGAAAAGAGAAGGGATAGCGAAATCTGTGTCGTCGTATAGATGACAGAGTTATTCGTTTTGTTGGTCATCGTGGCCTGGTGTCAAAAGAAGATTTCAGCAGACGAGGACACTATAAACGAAAGAGTTTGAAGAATAACCAAAAAAATACTGGAATATGAAAGCAAATTATGATGAGGCTGAGTGTGACACTGTGCATTGCACAGGACACAGCATGAAAGTATAGGAAAGGAAGAATGCCTCCACAAAAGAGGGGCGTTAGGAATACGTGTGGCTTGGCAAAGATCGACAATAAAAGCAAGAATCAATCAATATCCTGGCAGCACGGAAGATTATAACCAAAGCAAACTTCAGGAACTTTGGAAGCTTCATTCAGTGTATGTCTACCTTCACCAATAGTCTTTGTACTTGGACTGACCAATATAAAAATGACCATCTAAAAAATGGAATAGATTGTTCTAGGTTGAATAGATGGAATTTGAACAATGGACTATGATCAATACTCGCCTTGAGATACGTAAATCGGATGCTAAAACTATAGCTCATTATCTGAATCCTGAATATGCTTCTGGCGAAGTCGACCAGCCGTTCTATGGTTAATTATTAATGCATTAAKTATAATTGCAATAACAAAGAGTAGCATCATTAGAAAAACTTATATTTATAATTCCCGTTTCCATTGGATCATAGTTTGAAATTTTGAAATTGTTAAACAAATGAGAGGTTATTAGGTAAATCATGCCGTTTGGGTCCCATAGAGCTCACTAAAGAAAACCCCAAGTGTTTTCAAGCAGGAAAGGAAAAAGAAAAAGAGGAAGATTGAAAGGAAAGAAATGTAGAGGAAAAAACAATTACGAACGGACGGGATATAGAAAGATGGAAGAAGAAGAAGAAGAAGAAGAAGAAGAAGAAGAAGAAGAAGAAGAAAAAAGGGAACGTGAAAAAGGGGAATGTATCAATTTGTATGAAAATGCTTATATTATTTAACCTGTCATCAAAAATTAAAAGCTTTCGCTTGTTTATGTACGAGCAATGCAAACACATCATCCACCGATAAAAGATTAATGTAAAACAGCTAAAGAGAAATTATCTTTATTACACCTGCTTTTCTGTCCAATGTTTAATAATTTCTTTTTTTAAGTAGAATAAATATTTCTTTGAGTAATTCATTTAAATACTACAGAATTTTTAATTTGGTTAACCAAAAACCAACCGCGTTTAGGAGTTATAACATTTCAGTCATTGTCTAAATATTTTATTGAAAAGTTCTTAAAATATTTCACTTTTTGTATTGACAGTATGATGAGTAACCCCTTTGAATGAGAAACAAGAAATAGTAGGGATGAAATTTTTTTTAAATTTAACGTACATAATGATGAAGTTTTTTTTTACCGTATAAGGCCATTCTAGGACATAGCACGTCCGATTTAGTATTCAATGGTAGTTGAGCGATAATATAACTTCAATTACCAAATATAATTTAGCCAACTCATTGTGCAGTTTTTCAGTACAAATACTTTTGTTCATAGTATATCAGCAAAGTAAGTCTTGAAGAAAGAGTGATATAAATTGCAAGTTTTTTAGGTACTAAAATATACGATTTTACCTTAAAATTGGAGTTGCTCAAATAAGATTTTGAACTGACATGTTTTGTCTGTAGTGTTTTCATTCATTAATAGTTTTATTCAGTGGATCTATTGTGTGCTGTTTATATTTGACTAAGAAAAACACGCCTAGATTTCAACTCCCCCCMAAAAAACCGTTAGAACATCTTTCTTTGATACCGATAGCATCACCCAAACACTGCTCGGCTTTAGCAAGCTGTTGGAGTTCAAGAAAATCCTTTTGGCACGTGCACCTTGGTAACGTGCCTTGGAAACGAAGAAAGAAGACGCCGTTACATCGAAATCGTTTGACTTATTACGACTCATTATCTGAATGGAAAGATAAATGAGGCAGTGTGTGTTYGTAACGGATAACCACACGACCATTTATGAATCCTTTCTTGTCCCGATCACACTTCCATTGTGTGTCCAGGCGTCTTGAGCGTGCCAGTATTGTACTTTTAAAGAAGTTTACGCTTCTAGAATACAAGACAACTATTCTTTTTTTTTCATGAAGCTTTATATAAAGACTATTCTATTCACAGCATTAAGAAAGAAAAAGAAAACATTGAATGCAATGCCGATGAATGATCTTAAAGTCTCAAGGTTGGCAACGACCCTATTTCAACGTTTTTCATTACAAAAATAAAACAGCGTCCTTTTAATTAATAAGCCAAAGTATCTGCGAAAACCATTTGGTTAACTCAATAAAATGTCATATAACATTTCAGATGCATTATAAAAAAATGACAAATACTTTCAAAACTTTTGAAGTAAAGTTATGAGAAACTGGATGCAAGATGTTTTAAAACGATTTTTGAGCGGAAAAAAGAGAAAGAGTTAACGTACTTTGAGTCTCTTTCTTTTTCTGTCCAAAAGAAGACATTTATTATACAGTAAAACAGAAGACTTAAAAAGTCCAACTATAAAACGTCTACTTAATGGAATAAATGGTTATTTGTTCAAACATAAAACACTTCTTGAGTGTTTTATCAAAGAGTATTGCATGTACTTGTGAACACCTTTTTTAGACACACGTGGATATACAATACGGATAGGCTCTTTGAGCTGGAGAGCTACATTTGATGCCATTCCGAAACCATTTTAATGATGCGTATTCGGAGCTTGTATTATTATACTAAAGAGTGAACGTTACTTTGTTTGAAAGTACTTAGCAATATCGCGTTGTCCACAGCTATTGAGCTAGTAAATGCTTCTATATTGAAAAATTAGCAAATCAATATTAGAAATTAAGTGACTCATGATTAAAAACATATAATTAATAGTTGTCTTAGCTTTGAGTATATAACTACCGAACTCCTCCTATTTAACTATTTAGCTGAGAGAATCATTTTCTTGGTTGGATTTTTTTGTTTTGTGTTCGTAGGGGAGTTTGACTTCTCAGATCAGTTGTCAAGGTCATCAGCATTAGACCAAATTTTCCTACGAGCCATATTTGGCATGCACGAAAAAACACTTCATTGCACACAGTCAGTCACACAGTTCACATGAAGACGTGTTTTGTGACGTTGAATTCAACCATTTCTTTAATTGTTTCATACTACAGTATTGCTGATAGCCAAAACTCAAATTAAATTATTTCTTACGCACTTAGAACCTTTGAAAGACTAGTTCACGTTGTTGATGATTTGGGGCACTTTTTTGGACGTTCTTTGTTTATTTGACATATATATAGTTTTATTCGAAATAAGCTGCCGGGTTTAGTGGAAACTAGCTAAGAGTTGTCCATCATAACTCGGCATCATTATGACAAGAAAGTCATTAGCCTCCGCTCTTATGAACTTCAACAAATTGTGAGGACAAACTGTAAGTGATATTGTCCCACATTAGCAAATATCAAAAGATTGAATGGATGGCTCTTAACGGTTTGTCTGAATGTGGAACTGACAGCTCTTGATCATGACCAGCACTTTTAGACTGTTTAAAGGATCCCAAGAACAGGTCCTTACAGTTTATACAGGTCATTCTATATACATCACTTGCACATCTGTCCCTCAAAGGTTTGGCCCCCTGCTACGACTAATCAATGTAGCGAGGCCTAGTGTATAAAAGGAAGTCAACCCTAAATGCCTACGGCGACGTTACGCTTATAGTTCACACATTTACTCTTCATTCGAGGGTTAAAAGCTTGACATCTACGATTCATATCATCAGTGCGACTCTGCTAAACATTGAGAGAACATCTCCTCGTTCAACAGATTCATTTCACAAAAAAAGCGATTAAGAATGTATTCCATGGAGAACTTGCTGCAACAAGATTACAGATCTGGCACAAGTGCCTTTCGCTTTCCATATGGAAGTCAAGCAGATAGAGAGATGGGATTTTTAAGAGAAAGTTTGTCTTTCGAGAAAAGCAGCAAATTGGCGATTACAAGTGATAAAAATGAAGACGTCGACAGCGAAGACGAAATACTGAAGGAGAAGGAAAAGGCAAGGTCGAAGATGCTTGAAGACAAGGAAGATGAAGAAGATCAAGATGCAAGAGACAACAGAAATCTGTCAGAGACATTTGTGGCAGTAATAGCACAGTCAATTTTGAGCGTGCCAACCAAGCGTATGACCCTTAGTTCTATCTACAGCTACATCGCCAACAACTATCCTCACTTTGACAAAGAAAAAGGTCCTGGATGGCGAAACAGTGTTCGACATAATCTCTCAAGCAACGACTGCTTCGTGAAGGCAAGTCGTGCGGAGAACGGCAAGGGACACTATTGGATGATCCATCCAAAAGATCTTCCAGAGTTCTCGAAAGGAAACTTCCGACGTCCTCGAAAGCCAAGAAGACCACGATGTACCCATGGAATCGGCTGTCTGTCHGAGAGAACCATATTCCCTTCAGCACTTGGAGGTAGCTACTATATGAATCCTTATTCCTCAAAGCATCCAGAATACGACTACTCACTACCTATGATAGCTTCCTCTCCTGATGTCTTCTCCAGAGCCTATGGAGTGCCCTCAAGGTACGACGCCTTTCAACGGGACGACGGACTCGGGATTTCAAGCTACCACAGCCTTTCATCATCCTCCTCACCGACATATCTTGGTTTTCCATGGCCCGACAGTTCTGTCTTCAGAAACTACGCTGCCTTAAGCCATGCTTACTATCCCTATGTAATAATGCCACCTTCAGTAAGCGAGGTATCAGTACAGAACGATTCTTCTTCAAAGTCCAAAAATGATTAAGAAAACTTTATATTTAGTATAAGAAAATTGTACATAGCCAAGCTTGGATAATTTATTTCCAATTTAATGATGCCATTCCGATGTAATTGCAATTCGAAGTTTCCAGATTAACGAAATCTTATAGTTGAAGAACTAAAGAAACAGAACTGATCAAAAACCCTATACGCTGGAGTACCGATCCAAGGCATTCCATAGAAAGAGCTTGAGCTAATCTCTTGGATACAAATCTTATTGTTTTGGCTTTGTTTATAGGCTTTCGGGTATTGTAAATAATCAAAAGGTTCTGGTATGTAGTTGTGGTCCAACTGAAACACGCAAACTTTTATAATCCAAGTAGTTTTAAATTATCACCAAGATGTATCAAACCACACTATACGAGAAACACTCCTTGGTTTTATTTTATCATTAGGATGAGAATCTCAAACGGTTATTTAGTACGGAAGAGAAAAAACATTGTAAATATCGAAATATTATTATTTTTTATGGAATAAAGATTTTTTGCGAAACTCTGTGGTCTTTTGTTTCTTCATTAAAAAAAGTTAAGTTTATATCACTTCGTGTTTAAGGTTGAACTCATAACTTATTGTTTATGTTTTGACTACAACCCATAATATAATACTGTACTTAGTAAACTCGTAATAGGACAGTAATTATTCATTAATAAATATTGAGCTACTACTCAACGATGGGTAAGGCAAAAATCCACCATAATATTCTAGAAAAATTTTAAATATTAAAAAAATATCGGTTGTTTAATCGTTCAATGGTTCGACATTATTCCTTATTCAGTCTAAGATATTTATGTTCGAAATAGTTCCAGGAGTTTCGATTCACGTACTTTAGATATGTCATAAATTTCCTTCTTGCGACATAATTCCTTGTCAAATATTTCCACGGAGTATTCCCTTGAATGTTTATTACCAATATATAAATTAACGCTTGACATTAAGCAAAATCTAAAGTAAGTAAAAAGAAAGTAAACATATTTCCCAATATTTTGAACACTGAATTTAAAAAAAACTTTTTCTTTTTGGCCTTCAAAGTCTAAGTCGGACATTTTGTATGTTTTTCATTGCTCGGAATTGTCTCATTCCTAATTGGTTAAAAGCTTAATTCTATTACTCTTTTGAGGATTTTAAATTAAAATATATATGTCAGGTCAAAATGAAATATGTTTAATATTTAGAAAAGTGTAGGTCATTATCATATTATTCGGACAACGTGATGTAAAGGTCACCTAACTGGCGTTTAAATAAAATTCCGCTCTTATCTTGGATCTAAATAGATATTCTTATAAGCAAAATAACATTATGAAAAAATAGATTTAAAAATAAAAGTTTGTTTTCGACGATTTAGGTAGTTGCATTTTTTTGTTTTGTATCGTCGTAAAAATCCTTTTCCTTTTGGCAAGTTGTGTGTACCTATTGTGAGACTATGCACAGGTGCAATTTCTGCCTCTGGTGATCCTGATAGCACTATTTGTTCTGATTTTCTCGTTTCCTCATCATCACTCTTAATGCGAAGACATTTCTAGTGTCTGTGCTTCTCATTCAAAGTACTTTTTCTATTCATTGGCTTATGGAAATCAAAAACAAAGCTGTACCGGCCCAACCATGTGCTCGAACCAGACGAAAAAAGAAATGTCATCTTCACAAGCTGTGTGCCATTATTTTAGGTTATTATATCCAACAGGCTTCCTGCGAGCATTATGTTTACCTGTTTATTGTAAAACCTGTCTGCGAGCTCACACAGAATCAACTCATCGTCTATAACTTGTTTTATTCAATATACGATTGAAAACGAGATAAGAATCGAATTAACAGTGGAATTTTATTTGCACAGCTAGTGTGCAACACTGTTTGAGTTGACCTGTAGTGTTGGCCTTAAAATAGCTTTTGTAGTGCGGTTTGTAAACTAAACAGAATAAACTGTATTCCAATGTTCGTGAAGTAAAAGTAGTCGTTAAGGGATTATAAGGCACTTATAAATAATCCGTTATAACTCATTTAGCCGTTGTCAAAGAACAAGCTTCTCTATTGTACACTGCTTTTCCAATAAAAAAAACAGACTGTCACGTTTTGGAAATCTAAGGGCCGGATCAGCTAGCGGGGAAATTTCGGACAAAGATAACATCTTCCTTTAAAAGCCGTTTTAAAATCATTAACGTCACACATAAACATATAAGGAATAAATTAAGGCGCGTGAGATTTTTTTCATGAAGTCAATTTAATTTTTAATTCAGTACCCCACTTTCGAGTGGGGAAAGAAACGCAACGGTAGAATTTTGATGAATTGTTTATTTAGATCTAGATACCAGTATCTTAGCATCCCGTATAAGAGGACATGTTAAAGTAAAGCATAACTAGATGGTATATTCCTTGCTTATTTTTATATGACTCTGATACAATATGCACGAACTCCGATTTTTTCTTTCTCGCGGAGCAGGGAGGTGGCTATTGCAGGTGTGATAAAAAGGTTCCTTGGGTGTCATCTCCGAACTCACAGAGAACGGTTTGCACAATGCCCCCAATCGTAGCAGCATTTTTCCTAACCCATTTTCTATTTGTTTGGAAGTCTCTGTCCCAAAGGGAATATTTGTTTCGGGTTTTCGTTCATAGTTGAAAAATAAAGGAACTTGCGCTCCCCAGAGTCATCACCCCCCTGAATTCTTCCTTTTCATAACTTAATTGTTAACCATTGCATGGGGTCGTTTAAGCCATGAATCAATATGTATAGGTAAGTTAAGTCACAAGACAACTTCATTCAACTCAAACGTACTTAGTTCGTGACCCGCGGGGCATTTCCCACGCGCTGGGCTGGAACATTAAAGAAATGATGAACAACCCCTTAAACGTCGGAGAACAAAAAAAAAAAAAAAAAAAAAAAAAAAAAAAAAAAAAAAAAAAAAGCCGAGATTTTTGTGCTGATTTTCTGTTCCTTGTATCAAAACTCTCATCCTGCTTCCCCACAAAAGCCCTAAATAAAAGAGCCCAACTAGAATCATATCATGGCCTGACCTCTTGAGCAAAGTGCATGGATGAAAATGTTTAATTAGCACTAGTGAACTAGTATGCTCACCGTACCATTTGAGCTTCTTTTCCAGTCTAAGTTACTTAAATCTTTCCATTGCAGTATTCGTCCTTGAATCTTTTTTGAATCAGTTCATTTGACTAGTGCATTTGGAAATATGCACCTTGAGATGTCCTTGTGGCATGGTATAATAAAGGGAAAGCTTTCCCTAAGGTGTAGGCATACAGTTCATGTTTACAGCTACCTCCCAAGAACAGTACAGCGGGAGACGGGCTATATTAGAATAAACAGTAATTAACTTGGTTCAAATGCTCCATGAGGGGCAGTGCGCATATGATATGATTATTAGGGCCTGCCAAAATAGAGACATGCTTAGATCATATAAAACTAGACCAAGACAGAAGGGTAGCTCCACACCGACTGAACCTAACAGCATCGATCTCGTTTCGATTGTAACTTTTTGAGGTAAGCTTGCGCAATATCGTTTTCCAAATCTCGTTTAATCACTCGGTAATTGAATTGAAATGTTCGTATTCTAAGTTGCGCTGCTTTGCAGGAAGGAACCTTAGCAAACTCAATTGTAACCGCAGTAAAATGCTTAGCAATCGAAGTAACAAAAATAGCGCGCCTAGGAGGTCCAGCAAAGTAAATTCCAACTTTTCTTTTACTTGTGAGTTGTATCGTAGTTGATAGAGGGCAATCAACTCCACTATGGTTGAATGTAATAAAGTTCGAGGTAAAGGCAAGAGAATTATCATTAGAGCCGGAATGACACTGCAGAATGCAGCGTTTTCTCAACGAAGTTATAAATGGAACTATTTGAAATTCAGCGGAACGTTTTAATGACGCTACAGAAGCGCAAAATGCCATGGAAAAATGAGTGACGTTTTTTGGTGTTGCTTCCTTTGTTATTTGCCAAACTCTGTTCGAAATCAAAAGACGGAATAAGGAATTATTCTGTCGAGTCTTACTACAAGGTAAGGCTGTTGATAAAAAGAAAGCTTTAATCAAATCCAAACATAAAGTACTTGATGAAAGAGCGCAGTGAAAGTTATATTTGGAAATGCTTTGTCAACTATGTCCTTCACTTGTTGCGATTACGTATGCTCGATCGATTGACAAAATGAGTTTAATCTCAGTTTAAACGAAGTTAAACACTATTCTAAATGTATTTTTTGAATTAAAAATAGATGATAAAAGTGGGATATTTTTATTTGTTTTAAACTAGAAAATCTAATGATGGAATAAAGTTGGGCAAAGAACAAGAAACAATAAAGGTCACTCAAACAATAGAATTATAATGAGTAACGAGTAGTTTCTTTAATTTCCTTGCCCTTTTTTCTGCTTTTATTATTTTTTTCTCGATCAACTCGGAGTTCTGTCAGACTTAAAGAGAATTGTTGAATGCTTTATGGAATCGTTAAGAATGATAAAAGTGCTTTCATACTCTCTGTTGTATGTTCTTATTCAGAAACTCAAAGAGACTGCATCATTAGCCTATTAAGTTCTATCATACCAAGCTTTAAACAAAGATTTAACCTAACTAAACTATCTTTGTCTTTAGGCAATACGTCTGGAAAGGTTTTAAGATTGCCCACTCTTGATTTGTGGTATATTTGCTCAGTGTATTGCTTGCAATTGCAGTGATCTTTGACATAAAAAATGTACAAATTGTAATCTACTACTGGGAAAGTAATTGTCCACTGTCCTATATGATAGTTGCCAATTTATTCTTATCAAGTTCTCTAGAGTTCTATGCCAATTACAATCAAATATGTGCATTCTTCTGAGCCGAGAAACTAGTACTTCAAAATATGCTTCAATTCTTGTTTTGCTGAGCATTCCGGCTTCATCACCTTTTTCATTGGTATCTACAAATCTGCAAAGCTCATCACATTGAGCGTAATTCTAAATTTAAGCAGTCACTTTAACCAATTTTTAAGGCACGCAAATTAACTGATTAAGATGATTTTTTTTTCAATGATGAGCACTATGGAAAAAAGCGCCGAAAACTAGACTTTCGTATGAGTTTTGATCCCAATTTTCGTTTTGGGTTAACACTCAAAACCTTTTTTTTAACAGTTAGAAACTGATGTACAGTTATATATTATACATATATATTTTCATTAAACGTTACTAATATGAGGATGAAACACTGATTTTCCTTAGTTTTTCCCTTGTTTTGTCTCCATTATAACCAAAGAAAAATCGCTAAAACCCTTCAATTGCAACCGATGTTCTAAGCTAATATTTTCATTCAGATCAAGTAGGTTTTCCTTAGCTGTCGAAAAGACACTTTTTCAAGCGCAGTCTTTTCTTTTCTTTCTTTCTTTCTTTCTTTCTTTCTTTCTTTCTTTCTTTCTTNTTCTTTCTTTCTTTCTTTCTTTCTTTCTTTCTTTCTTTCTTTCTTTCTTTCTTTCTTTCTTTCTTTCTTTCTTTCTTTCTTTTTTTTTAAGGGTGATTTTTTTAAATAGATATTATGAGTTTATAGATCTAGACCTCATTACGCACAAAAAGGTTTTATCAGATGTGATTGTTTTTATGTCCAACATTGATTTTGTAAACTTTCCTATTAATTTGCAGTAGAGTGCATACCATAAATCCGCGAAAAACAAACAAAATTGTAGAAATTCGTGCAAATTTGTGTAGGTCTACAGTCTATTAAGGTCTGCTGAACTTATTTATTTCGGCAAATTTGTGGAATTTCTTACAAGGTTTTTAACGGATATATGGTATGCACTCTAAGATGTAGTGGTGTAAGTTTTTCGTCAGTGCCTTCCCCAAACACTATAACAGTAACTAGCCCTTGTTACATTCATGGTTTTATGAAATATCAAGAATTATCGTTATTATTTTAATACATGCACCCTGGTACAGATCATCTTTTCATTTGCCTGCTTGGTGTGATTCGTATGAACATCTTTTTTTTTTTTTTTTTTTTTTTCAAAAAGAAAAGGAAAAAAAAAAAAAAAAAAAAGGACTCCGACTGTAGGAAGGCACCGCATGACATCCCTACATATGGTACATTGGCCATACGACTTGATTGTCTTCTATCTCTGTACTTACTTATTTCTGGGAAGGATCATATACTAATGGAATGACTGTCCAGGTTGGGCGATATTCCAAAGGGATTTAAAATAAATATATTTGCGTCGACATATCCTTTATTAGTGTGGTCGAATATGACTTTATTTGATCTTATTTGTCGCTAGACCACTGTAAGGTCCCTACTCCGAATCACCGGCCTTGTGTGGTTTTACTAAAGACTATAACTAAAACCTTGCCATGAACATTCCTATCTATTTCACTGTGATACACGGTAACTAACTGATTCTAACTAACCCTATTAATTAATTCAAAACGATTAGAGCTGTTTCCTAGGGCCATACATGGACTGTATAGCGGTTGCGAGAAGCGCCTGTCTGCTTTTAGTTCCACCCCGTTTAACTGCGCATTGCTGTTAAGTTTACTCCTTGTGGTATGAAAAGTGGTAAAAAATTGAACTTTTCTTCTTACTATAACTAGTTCGTTGATGTACGAAGCCTCTCGCACCTTCTTGGGGAAAAATGGCCGCCTTTTTCTCTTTTACGCTAGCAATGACTGCAAGTACACTTATATTTACCTACGCGACAAAACCCATATAGTCTTTCTTCACTGTGTTTAAGTTTACTATTTTTTCAATGTTTTTCTATTCTGTTTATGACACATACTAGTATGCTTTACACTCTTTTACACTCTTCGCAATATATTCTCATGTGTATCAGACTGGAGCATCCATATGACGATGCCACATAACGATAGTGGTCGTGTTTATGCTCATCAAGGTAAAATGCGTGCGGTGTTCTATATTCTGAAGCACACTGGAAGGAAGCCAGAACTAAATCCCTGTCTAAGGTCGAAGGCTTAAACAGGAACATATATATTTCAAAAATTGAAGTAAACCTTGTTCTAACTCTAAACATATACGGTTGTATAGGCAGACTTGAGTATGAGCTGGATAGCTTTATAAAACGATTGGCGCGGACAGAAACACGCGAATGTTCGCATGGTGCGCTAATGACGTAAGTGGAAAGTACTATTGAGCACCTTAATGCACGTTTCTGAAGTTCCGCGCAAATGGGCAATGATATTTTGAAACAGAAAAACCTTCAACTCAAAATGAAAAATAAAGGCATTATATTGAATGCTGTGCTTTTGAGGAGGTTTCTCCGAAGAAGAAAAAAGAAAAAAAAAAAAGAAAAAAAAGAAAAGAAAGAAAGAAAAGAAAAGAAAAGAACCAAAGTAACTACACAGTCATGCACTTAATGAAACAAAAACACAACTAATGTTCAAGATTCCTATACCATGTAATTATCCAATATCAAAAAAAAGTATGTGATGTCTTCTGTTAAAAATGTGCATCCATTTGAGCAATTTCCGTGGGAACTTAGTCTGTGTGAATGGTTCACTGCGCAGTACCGGTTATGGCCCTTGGGCCCAATAATAAGTATACTTGAATCAATGGTTAATTGGGGTGGCTTATCTGACTTAATAGATATACATGTAGATGTTATATTGATTAAGAAAGCACCCTGGTGTGGGGTCGTCTTACCGAAAATGGCTTTATCGTAGAATATTGCGATTGTTCGAGGGATTTCTATCCTCATATCCTCATATCTTATCCAACAAATGCACTCTACGAGTATAAAATAACTCTTGGAAAGCCTTTAATCTATTTATAGATAAACTTGTTGGGATTCAAGTATTTAAGCCAAGGCACTTTCTTTCGTGACCGCGCGTAATTTCTCAAGTACTTTGCGTGCTTCTTCGAGATAAAGCACTTCAAAAAATCTCAGCTACAAATTGTTTTTTAGAATGTGTTAAGTACGAACAAGAAATTGCTAATTAATAACCAAATAATTAATAATAATAATTAATAAGAAATTAACAATTAACAACCAAACCCTCCCTTAATGTCCCAAATCAAGGGTTTAAGACAAGTCTATTGCAGCTTTTTCATTTTCCATAAGCCAATACCAATCTATTCATACACGATGAACAAAAAGATGAACGCGATGTTACACAGGAGCCTCTGGTCATCAGTTAATGTTTTCGTCTGCCACCTCTTCGGCTCTTGTCATTGGGTACTGAAATCCATCTGAGGTACTTTAGTCACGGAGGCAAGGACACGTGGTTTGTGACACTAACCAGCAAAGATCGTGCGCTAAAACACGAAGTAAAATTTCTCTACAAGTACTTTATATTTTGAGTTTGGTCTTCAAGTTTCTGTGTTAAAGTTTTAATAGATAATAATCTATTTTTGCTCAAAATAGCAATCCTTAATTCACAATTTCTTTTGTCAAGACTATGGGGTGGTGAAGATAATTCAGTAATTGTTCCGTATCGTGCCACCTCAGCGTTTTGTCAGCAAGAATTTTTCTTTTAGTGCAAGAAACATCTCGAGACACAGGAATGCTGGAATGAACGCTGGAACGTTCGAGCAATACGCGGACAAAATCTTAAGGCGAATGAGACCAAAAGAAATACAGTCTCAGTTGGCTGTTCTATGATATGGATTCATTTATCAGGTATAATAGGTTTAAATGCACTGTCGCACAGTTCAATATATAGCTCGTAAATTTTCTGGTGGTCATGATGATAATAATAATGATGAATGATGATGATGGTGGTGATAATGATGTTACTGCTGATGCCGCTGCTGCTGATGCCGATGATAGTGGTTGTGATGAAGATAATATGATGATGATRATGGGGAATGGGGTGATAATGATAGTGGTAGTGATGATAACGATGACATTCTAGTTTGTAGTTTTCAATTTTTTTCTGATAAACGTTTTTTTCCTTATTGCTTTTCCAACAGCCTCTTTCCATAGTTGTAATTTTCCGTCCAATCTCACAGCAACTTTCATCCAAATTTTTCAAAGAACAGATTTGTTTACTTTATTGAATTTTACTACCATATTTGTTTTTGATATTAAGAGCTTGGATGTTCTCAGGGTTTTCATCTCCGTGTTTAATAAATACTGTTAGTAAACATAATTACAAAGTTTCGCTTGGTGATTTTACTCTGTGGTGTTATCTTTACATAATATCCTTCCCTCTCTCAAGAACCACTGAGCCAACCAACGCTATAACACGAACTTCAATAAAACTATTATCTACTTAACAGTTCACGGATTGAATTACATTGATCAATATGGTTAAATGGTGCAAATCCACGCTGCGAGCGAAATGTGGTGTATTTATGAATACAAATTATATATGCTATTAGTGATAATTATATATAATAAACGATCCACGGTGCAACGAACAGAGACAAAGCTTTAGTATCATTGCCTCAGGCGTTTTGATCCTTTTAGTGACCCAGTAGCTTTATTGAATGTGTATCGTTTGATTTGTAAACGATTAAAAATCCATTGTCGGGAATTAAAGAAAACAAACCTAATAATGAAGATTTTGATCTGTTAAGAGTGCTAAATTTGGACTCAAGATTCCCGAAGTGCACTTCACAAATTAACTTATGTTCGTAACTTATGTTCGTAACTTTCGTCATATGGTCTACGTTCTTTCTCAGTTGCTACTCCGCTCCTCTGGAACACTCTACCTTCTTCAATTAGAGATATTTCCAGTTTATCTTTATTTAAATCTAAACTCAAGACTCATTTATTTAAGCTTTTTCTTTATAATCATATTTTCTATCTTATTTATTTATTCCTTTAACGTTATGTTACTAAGCGCTTAGAACAGACTTGTATAAGCGCTATATAAGCCATATATATTGTTATTATTATTATTATTATTATTATTGTTATTAATGAAATGTAGTAAAATAAGAAGGAAGATAAGTGATTTTTTTTATATTGATAATTGAATCTGCAAAATTTAATCAAATCAAACAAATCAAATACACCAACTAAGAGGATTATGGCTATCAAAGTTTGCACAATTGTGATATGTTTGTGCGCATTTATTTACTTTGTGAGTCAACAGTAAACACGTTCTCTCTCTCTCTCTCTCTCTCTCTCTCTCTCTCTCTCT